AGTCTGTAGTTGCAGATATGGTGAAAAACAAACTCAGTCAACAACACATCCTATATTTTGTGACCCATGCAATTATTCCTTGCCACATCCAAGGCCAGAGAAGTCCAAGAACAAGGACAAGTAGAAACCCAGGCAGGTTTAACAAAAATAGTACAGGTAGGCAATGGCAAAATGTATGGAGAAGCAGATCCCGAACCCAGATACTAAGAGGTTTGAAGTGTTTACTTATCCTCAATTCGGCCCAAATCGGACTTTCAAAAGCCAGCTGGACTGTTTCCTATGAATGGACTGTAGAGCACTGGACGCATCGCTCCCACACGCTGGGTGCCTTGTTGTCCACCTCCGCGAACGACTCTTTTGGCTTTGATTTGGGTCTACATGTACATGTACATGTATACTAACTCATTTTGAATGAACTAGCGGGGCTACTACGCACTTTCCCACTTCAAGGTGAATCGGATTTTTTCTAGGCGAGACTGTCAATAGCAGCTCTCCCTCAGCTAAATACACATTTCCGGCTTAGCCCATGCTTGAAACACACTGGGTGCGAGCCAAAATGAACACTCTGGTCGTGAAGGGCAATATATCCACAGAGAAACAATACCAAACCAAGAAATCAAAAACAAGTGGACTACTACAAGAAACAATGTTGAGGAGCAGCTAGCCTCGCGCCGTGGACAGTTGCATACATGCGCCAAGCAGTTGCAACTGTCAATCATCCCTGACATGCCATGGTGGCAACCAAAACACGTAAACAAAAGCCACTACACCTGCCCATCTTCCACAAATTTTGAAACAGGTCTACTACTTCTAGTACTACTGTACTGTACACTGCACTGTATCATGGAAATTCACATTTACACGTGCCTTTGCCCGTAGTCTGAATCGAATCTTTCAGAATTATGGATTTTTCATACATGTACATCTACATGTAGATCAGCAGTACGGCTCTCCTGCAGCATGCTGCATTGGCATTGTGGACGGATCCACCATGCCCGCATTATGTGTCTACATCTCGATCTCGGAACGATTACAATCATGTGCATTACGCCACATTCTCATTGTTAGTCAGGTGTCATGTTCTGTATCAAAATCGACATTGGAAAACGCTTGTGTCTCGTTTCCGTCTCAAGAAAGATGGGACAGTAATTTGCTTCATAACCTCAGTTGACTAGGTGTACGCTCAGGATTATGAGATAGTTCTGCTGTTTGGGACAGCGTTAAAGGGATCCGCTATCTTCGCAGATTTACGACGCACGTCTCGGTAAGAGCAAGGTAAGCGAGAGCGATATAGATTAGTTCCGTTGAGACTTTAGTTAGTGTGGCGTTAGCACGAAACTACATGTGTGTGAGATTTTGTTTGGTATTTCCTTACTATTGAGTACAGTCGTTCATTTTGCGCCTAACTGCAGTATATAACATGTATGTGCTACCGTTACATTTACATGTAATTTCCTTGGCGGAAATTGCTAAAACCTTGACATACCAGTACTCAATCCAGCACACAAACGATTGACTGAAGTAGGGGTAATAATCATGCCATGATGTACTGCAATGTACAAGTGACTACTTCGATTTATGCATGTCATTGTGCAGCATGCCACACAACAACAAAGGAATAAGCCAAAAGACGTTATTCAAAAATATGTCATGTGTTTCTACGTTCATTTCTACATGTACATGGACATGTACATTGTATGGGTTATAATCAACGGTTAGCACAAGGAACATTGATAGTGCCAGACAGCCGCCATGATGTGTACCTTACCACCTTCAATACACACTTTCCGGTCGCTCATTGAATAGCATGAAATTGTTTGTCGTGATGATTAATCTACAAAACATTATTGGTAAAAAAAAATCACAATCCAGAGGCACCTCGATGGAGACGGGCAGTTTCTACGGCACCTGCCTGTCATCAGCAGGGTCAAATGGCAAAATCACTTAGCCAGTACGTGTACGCACGACAATCTCAGGAACACCAGTCCTGTCCTCCTCCAGCTACACTGCAGCCACCAGCCATGTTACTTCAGACCTCAACGACACAATTCAAAAAACAAAACGTTTCGTCGACAGAAAGACTTTACGTTTCGCTCCGTGTTTCCTCGTGTTTTTCTTGAACGTTTAGCAAAATATACAGTCATGTAGTCATTCGCATGCAAACGTGTGGATTCTAGTAAGTCTGGGCTTTCTGATTTTTTCGCATTTCTCAAGCGCTGAGCGGTGCAACAATTGTGAAACCACGGAACGATATAGGGATTCGACGAGAGAACAAACCCCGTCGCAACCATGTTAGCGCACAGCATCGTGACGGCCAAGTTCCTAAACTCTCTCTAGATGCCGTCAGCTTCCTTTGTGCGAAGATTCAAGTCTTCCCTCGGAACTGGCATACCCCTGTGGAAAGCGCCATCGCACAGATTTCAGCTCCCGAACTAATGTTGTATACAGAACACAGTCCGGATTCTGCAAGTTGAGCAACACTGAGGAGTCCAGACTGCAG